TTTAAACTTGCATCAAACTCTTTGCAGCGCTCTGCTTTATTTTGCATAACAGACGCCGAGCTTCCTCCACCCTCACCCTACCCTCTTTTCGTCTCGTCTCTTCTCGTGACGCTTGTTTTTGATAACGAGTTTTTGAGAGAAGTCATACATAAAATGGAGACGGGTTGAATTTAAATTTTATCCCAAACAAATCCCAACGGTTTGTCCTGGGCTTTATTTTACACAGTTCCTTTGAGAATTTAATGGGCTATGAGGAAGGGACGGGATGGAATAGTTTAGAGGAAATATTCGTAAATGAGTTCGACGCAAGGAAGGTGAAAACCACGTTTCTTCCTTAAAGAAAATGAATCTTGCAAATTGAAGTCATATGAAACGAAATTGATTTTTATTTTCCTAAAAACACATTCAAGTATTATCACTGATTTGTGATTGTGTATATTTTGTGCGTCTCTTTCTTTTTCTCTCTTTCTCTCTCTCTCATATATATATATATATATATATATATATATATATATATATATATATATATATATATATATATATATAAACAGTGCGAGGCAAAAAATGGAAGCACCCATAGAAAGTCGATTTTTGTATTTTTACCAAGACAAGTGAGTAATAGAATTCGTTTATTAATACAGGGTATTAATACAGGTGTAGGTATATACATTACCCATTTAAAAACCTTTGGGCAATAATAGACAAGCGTGCCCGTAATAGAAGAGTTAACACAGAGGATGAGCATTTTTCACGAATTAAAGGAATACTGGAAAAATTTGGCGAAAGACGTTGACTTACTAAAGAATTTATTCTATAGCATGCCACGAAGAATTAGGGCCATTATTAAAGCAAAAGGTTAGCCAACTATATACTAAATCATTTTTTGTATACCTGTATTAAAAAAACGAATTCTTTTACTCACTTATCTTGGCAAAAATACAAAAATCGACTTTCTATGGGTGCGTCCATTTATTTGCCTCGTACTCTCTCTCTATATGTATATATATGTATATATATATATATGAGACCTTGCTAACCGAACGCTCCTCTGTGGCCAAGTCGGTTAAAGGCACATCAGGCTATATAACGGTTCCGTATAGGATACAGGTTCGAATCGGACATTCATGCCGGTAAATATTGTTTAATACTGTTTATTATAAACAGAGCATTTACTTAAATATATGTATCTATAAAAAGAATGTATAAACATAAAAATGTCTTTATATATATATATATATATATATATATATATATATATAGTACAAGTAAACAATCCGTTAGTATATAATCCAAGTGGGAACAATTTTTCTATAATTAATAATTAATAATTTCGTTTTATAAAACTCCTTTTCTCGGCCTGCCTTTAGTTTCCCTTAATCTTTCTAATAACCCCAATCTGGGGTCTTAAGGTTACTGCCTGGGCTGAATTTTTGGAGCTTCTTTCCTTTTCTGATCGATAACTTCTGCCCACTTCTTACCACTACTCGGACAGACTGTCCTGCTGAGGCTTCGATATGGGTAGATCAATTATTGTACCAATTATTCAACTTCTGATTTTGTTAAATACTAAATTATAAATCTCACGGTGGAGTAAGGGTTAGCGGTTCGAAATGAGGAATCGAAGAGCCGAGTTCGAATTTCAGTCTGATCCATTACATTCACTTACGTGCTGATACCTTTGTGAAATGTATAAATCCCCCCCCTCCAAGCTATGGTAAATAACAGGACAGACCGCGTTTGATAGCCTTGGATGGCAACTGGTCTACCTCAGAAAGAAATGGCAACCTACTGTTGAAAATAAATCTGCCTCGTCAGTCATGTATCACGCATGGTACATAACTGACTGATATTTACTTACGTGTTAATACCATTGGGAAAGGTATGAATCCTCTAAGTTCCGACACTGAATACAGTCTGGGTTGAATAAAACTGACGTACTCGGCGTCAGCTGAAATAGAATATACCCATGAGGTAATTTGGGATTTCTCTGTTGTGCAAATTAATATATATATATATATATATATATATATATATATATATATATATATATATATATGTGTGTGTGTGTGTGTGTGTGTGTGTATTAATATATATATATAATATATAAATAGAAAAGTGAACATAGAAGTCAACAGAGAGGCGACAGTCTGTTTCATGCTAGACGCAATCGTTAGGCCTGACGACTTGTTGACTTCTATGTTCACTTTTATATTTACGCACGCTCTATCTCTGATATTGAGCACTTTATCCCAGAAATATAGCACACCCTAAGACTATATTTCTTTATTATTAATATATATATATATATATATATATATATATATATATATTAATATATATATATATATTAATATATATATTATATATATTAATATATATATATTATATATATATATATATATATATTATATATATATATATTAATACATATATATTAATATATATATATTAATATATATATATCAATATGTATATTAATATATATATATATTAATATATATTAATATATATATATATATATATTAATATAAATAAATATAAAAGTGAACATACAAGTCAACACTGAGAGGCGACAGTCTGTTTCATACTAATATCTCTGATATTGAGCACTTTTATCCGATAAATATAGCACATCTTAAGACTATATTTCTTCATATATATATATATATATATATATATATATATATATATATATATATATATATATATATATATATTAATCTGTGTATATATATATATATAGATATCACATACACACTAGTGTGTGATTATATAGTAAGTTGTGTTCCTGCATATACGCGTGCTTAAAATTGTGTATATTTATGCATGTACATATTTCTTTTATGCATGTTTACGTTTCCAGCTTGGGATGGCTGACATTGTCGTGGATCGTACTTGGGAAAGGAAAATGGGAATACACCCGTGCTAAACGTTCCTTGTCCCGTCCATCCAACAATATCGCTCAGATTACAATCGGAATATCTGAATGTTAATTGGCGCTCTACATTACACATCCGTGGCTGGGTGATTGTTAGACGAGGAGCTGCTAATGCCAACAACACTGAAAAAAATATTAAAATCAGAAATCATTTTAACTTCTTGGGTGCATGAGTAATGAGTTCCCAGTGATAAATCTATTGATTATTTAATCTGTCCCGATAGTGACAGAACAAAACTTTTCGCGCAAAGGGAGAAGCCCGCAAGGTATAAAGCGGAAAATTATTTGAATCTTGCATGATACAGGATATTAAAAAACAAAAAACAAAAACAAAACGATCGGTTAAGCAGTAGAATATTTGGTAGCCAGTATATTTTTTTATGTATTCAAAAGGGTTTTGTATGCAGTGAGTAGGCCTTCATTTATTTCCATGATTTTTCTCAAGTACTCTCTTCCCATTTACAGGTGAGTATAAATCTTGCCCAATTCACAACAGTGACTTATATAGCAATTCCTGGACACCTCAAGGTGGTGTAATGGTTAGCAAGTTTGTCTCGCTAGAACAACTACGACTGAGTAGTGAGTTCGATCCTCACTGGGTGCCCCATACATTCGGCCTTGTGCCATATCTAAGCTACGCTTGGAAAATAACTATATAGCAATTCCTGGACACCTCAAGGTAGTGTAATGGTTAGCAAGTTTGTCTCGCTAGGACAATTACGACTGAATAGTGAGTTCGATCCTCACTGGGTGCCTCATACTTTCGGCCTTGTGCCACATCTAAGCTACGCTTGGAAAATAACTATATAGCAATTCCTAGCAAACGAGTAAAATTTTTTTAGGTGTCGTGCGTCTTCAGGGATTTTGATGGCCGATCAAATTCATTGAGTTTGTTTTAGTTAAGCAAATTTTATGGAGATTCCAGAAGATAAAAAGAGTTTAGATTTGGATTCTTATTCTTCATAACTGGATTTTTGAAGGAATCATTCTCGCATCATTTGTGCTTTGTAAAGTTAATTTTAGTTAGATTTAACAGTAATCATTAATAAATACAAATATAGACTTCAAAAAATATTTTTTTATTTAAACGATCCCACAATCTTTTTAAAAAGCTAAGTAGTTTATTGACCGTCATCGTGATGTCTGCTGTGAATTTGTTTTTGTAATAGTTTCGTTAATCATTGTTAACCAGCTTAGTATATGATATGATAAGTTATTCCGTCTCCATGTAGAGTAAACACCAAATATAATACTTCATTCTTGAAGCTACTGACCTTCTCTTATTTCTGAAAATAAAAATTGTATGTGTGAACAAAAAGGTTTTCTGACTTCGCATGTAAATATGTTACATGTAACTGTTCTATTTACTTAGGAAGAAACAATAGAGAAGTCTGTAACCTAATCTTTGGGTTTTAAAATATATAATTGTAACAAAAACATTAGAACGTTTCGAAAAGTCTATATATAAAATCAGATAAAAGACTGGATATTTCCGAGAACTATTCTGGATATTGAGAAAAGGCACGGTGGAGTAATGGATAGCTGCTCGGATTGAGAAATAGGAGAGCCGAGTTCGAATCCATTACATTCACTTATGTACTAATACCATTGGAAAAGTTATGAATCCTCTTCTTCTCCCCCCCCAGCTATGGTTAAATAGCAGGACAGATAGCAACTGCTCTAAGGCAGAAAGAAATTCGAGAAAAAATCTGTCTCATCACGCTTGTACTGTACTGATGCGCCCTGGGCGGATTGAGCCGGCTTCTTCCTGTTATGAGAAGAAGATTCTTGGGATAAATTACAGAAGTAGGGTACCCAGGCCTACTCGGATAACGTTCTTGCTTGCCGCGGGGTTCCCACAGACGCAGAGACAGGAACGACCAGAAGCCGCCGGTTACCGATGCAGGCGCTCCTTGGATTTTCACCACAGCCCTTGTTAGCCGGCGTGTGTGTCAGACCTGTCCGCCTTGGGTGGCCCTACCAGGAACGAAGTTCCGGGCGGCATAACTCTGACACTACCGTTTACCCCACCGACTGTGAGGTAAGGGTTGGACTTTGGGGTTTACAGTACCAGGTGTTCCTAAGCGGTCCCCCATCTAAGTACTGACCTGGCTCTACGATGCTTAACTTCGGTGATCGAACGAGAACCGGTGTTTCAGCGTGATTTGACCGTAAGCTTATCACGCTTGGCACATAAGTGATTCTGGATATATGAAGAAACAGAGTAAAAGATGGAAGCTTCATAATGTGTGTGATAGTCTCAGACAAGGTGTTGGGGTTGCTACACAAATTTTCCAGCTATGGAATCTCTGTGGAATAATGACACGTATTTTGAATTCAAAGGTAAGTTCGTTTTTTTTTGTTTTTTTTTTAGGCAACATTCCATCTTTTTTATATTTCATTGAAGCGCGCTTTGTAAGAATCCTCGCGATTATCAAGTCCTTCCAATCTGATAAGTCCTTGAAAGTCGTTGCTAATGGTCAGGTTCCTGGAGCCCATGAGATAAATAAATGGTACCTTAAAAAGCTAACTCCCTTTACTTTATATTATTGAGCTGCCTAAGAACATTCCCAGATTGCTAGTAAATATCTAAGCAGATGATACCACAGTTTATGGCTGGATCACCAAAAATCTAGATGGCGAGAGCTGATGGCTTATCTGAACTAGTTCTAACAGCTCAACGCGGAAAAAAAAACTGGCTTGTAACTTTCTATAGCTCAAAAACCCAGCTAGCATCATTTCGTTATCACCGATCAAACGCCGAGTTTTCTGCAGTCACGGTTGCCCTCTCAATGAGGCTTCATTCTTTGAACATTTAATAGGACAAATTCACTTGGTCATCAAGTAGAACTCATATATACAATCCATCGCTAAAGATGCTGCAACGATAGTCATCTCCAGACTCCTCCTGTCATACTTTCTTTACAAGGGTCAGATTAAAGCAAAAATGGAGTATTACAGTTGTGGGTTGGATCTGTCAATCTTCACTTTCCAGCCTAGGTAGAATTCGAAGTCGTCTACGTGGCTTTGAGAAAGACGACATTTTCCACAATACAACCTCTTTCCCCACAGTCGCAAACCTGTCGTTACTAGCGGTGTTTCCATTTTCAGACAAGCTGCTTTCTTTAGTTTCATCAGTTCATACATTTACAGCTATAGCCCGCCATGCTACATCCACAGAGTCGAACCACCCTCATTCCAACCGTATTCAAATTACAAGGACGAAGTTCCACTCAGATTCCTCCTACCCCACAAAGATTGTTGTTTTGCTGAACAGATTCACGAGTGGATGCTTAACCTTAACCGTAAGTTAAAAAGACGGAATGTTGTCTAAAGAAACAAAATTACCTTTGAATTAAAAATACATGTCATTATCTGCAAAGATTTTTTTTTACATCAGTTGAAACAAAAACGTGCAACATCTGTGAATGAACACAAACATGCAAGTTGACTCGAAATTATTATAATTTCGAAGATATTTCCTGAGATTTAAAATTTTGGGTTGCTTAATCTGTTTTATAGACAACAAAGCTAGTTGATATCAGGTGAGACGATGTATGCAGCATTACGATCGTTCCAGAATCTCTGAAGAGTTAGACGTTAGTGGGGGCGCAATTTGACCTTTTCTCGTGCAGACTGTTTAGTGGAACATTCCCAATAGACTCCAAAAGTTATCGTAATATCAGGTCAGCCGGTACACTTTGTTGAAATCTCACAAGAAGCAAGGGACGTAAGAAGATAGCTAGGTAAAATGTTTTTGCCGGAGGACAAAGCGAAATAATGTTAACTTTGAAGTTGTCTGGTTTTAACAATTTCCTTAGCTTTGCATAAACACGTGCGGGCTTTGTGTTGGGGTTTTTGCTGAATGACAGAGAGATTTGAGGTTAAAGCAGAAGAGTTCAAGTTTTGATCCTTGATGTGAGAAGTGGATATCGTCCCCGCCCCTAGAAAAGTTACAAAAAACAAAAGCAAAGAAGAACGATTTTAGAACCAAACTGGCAATTGAAAATTAAACCTGTTTTAATATTGTTGCGACCAAGTAAATGGTTAAAGAAATAACAAAACAAGTGTTACAGATATCTCATATATTAAACAGTAAGTAAAACAGAAGAGTATTACATGACTAGTGAGTGTGTGTCGATTGGCCCAGCGTTCAATCTATTCGACTGTTATATTTAACACCCCCACCCCCACGAGGGATGTATGTGACACAAGGTCGAGTTTACCGTGGGTTCTTCAAGCCCGTAGCCTCGGCCAAAAATATTCCCTTAGAACCCGCATCAACGGGTTCAGGGCCTGCCTACATCCAAGGACGAAACTTTGCCCTTCGGCAAAGCCTCATCCGGGTTCCTCTCTGCTCAAGGCAATATTTAACGCTCCTCTGTGGCCAAATCGGTTAAAGGCACGTCAAGCTAAATGACGGTTCCGTATAGGATGCAGGTTCGAATCCTGTCGGAGGACGAATATTTTCTGTGAAAATTTCTCGGACATTAAGGCCGGTAAATGTTGTTTAATACTGTTTATTATAAACAGAGCATTTACTTAAATATTTGTATCTATAAAAAGAATGTATAAACATAAAAATGTCTTAAAATAATTGTCGGACTTTGTCCATTTCATTATATATATATATATATATATATATATATATATATATATATATATATATATATACCTTTATTCTGAAAGTATAAAATTATATATAAGATATCTTTAATTAGATTTCGGCACTAAATAACCCATAGAGATGTTGCTATGTCTCTAAACAAAATGAACCAACCAACCAATGCCTGACGAAATGTCAATAATACAAATATTTCAAATTTAATAGTAATTATATACTTTTCTCTTAGTTCCATCAGAACTTTGTTGCCATTATAGTTTTTTCAGTGTTTGCTTTCTCTCTGTCTCAGCAACAGAGCATATTTGTGAAACTGAGATCTCTCCTGCTTCATCCGATGGCACGTTGCCGTCACCGACTGCTAGAAGGTCCTTTGAAAATTTCGCTGACATTTATTCCCTAACCAGTCATGTTAGGTTTTAAGAGGTAAAAGTTTTAACTTGTTGCCACAGAGGTGATGACTTAATGCAATCCTTTCACAGTATCTGCCCTTGTAGCCTTGAGAACAACGGGGAAAGTTTGCCTGAAATCACCTGCTAGGACAGCTCCTATTAGATGTTAACAATCCCTTATGTCTCGCAAAGTCCGATCCAGGGACTCGAGAGCTCCATTGTCGGCCATCGTACACTCATACCTTTTCAGGACGTCAGCTTTATCCGAACCCTTGCTGATGTTGCAGGTCACTGAATAGGGATGAGTTAATTGGCAGCTTAAAGGTGGAGTTCGCTGTCCTATCACCGGACAGAAGGGTCACAGAAATTCTAGAGGATGCTACACCCAAGGCGATCCTCTTCTTTTGCCGTACTTTTGCGAGGAGTAGCTTCGTGAAAAAATGTTTTACCTGTCCCTACAGGTGCATACAAAAAGAAAGAACGACCTAGCCGAAGACGAACGGAGTTGAAAATGGTATTATAAGCCAACTGCTGGTCTTTAAGCAACTTTAGCTCGTTTTCGCTGGCATATAGTTCAAGAGCGTCGACGTCATACGAAGTTTCCTGAATTATGCCAGTTGGGAGAGTATTTAAACTTGTTCGGCGACCATGGGACAGGCCGTAAGTTTGCAATGAATTTCAGCCCATAGAAACAATCCTATGTTCGATGTCAATAAGCGCTCTGTTTATAAATTCGTCACTGAATCCTGCGTCAAAGCCACGAAGCATTAGTTGCCCATGGTGTTTGAAATCTTCAGTTGGACTTGACCATTTTGATGCATAAGCTATCGGTGTCTCACGTTTGAACGAGATCGGTCGTAAAATGCGGAAATATATAACGAACATACACGCACACACAGACATCTGTTTTACAAACACACACACAGACATCTGTTTTACACACACACACACACACACACACACACACACACACACACACACACACACACACACACACATATATATATATATATAAGACAACAGTTAAGTTTTATATTAAATACAACAGTTAATCTAATTACACGTACCTCATATACATATCCAGTAGCTCATTTGACAGTGTCAGTAGATATTTTTGAATTCCGTAAGGTCAAAGAAGATGACAGTTTTATTACTTATGTTATTAAATACAACAGTCAAGCTACTTACACGTAGTTGTAGAAATTTCTACTCAGCCATATTGTACGCTCTTCTTTGTTTTACTCTTCCCTTCTCTCAAACAATCAAACTTTACAATTTTCGTACGAGCAGACAAACCAACAACAAAAAATGACTAACTTTTAACTTCATTATTCGAAACTTCGAACATATTTCTGGTTGTGAAAGTGCAAAGCAATGACATATTACCGTAGCTAATTATGAAAATATTTAAATTATATTTGTTGTCTTCACTATACATAAAAAACGTGACTCAAAAGCTAACTTAATTCCGTAATAGTATTTGTAAAATCTACAATACCCACGATAAAGCCCCATACATAAATTCACCCGTGCAAATGTTTCCAGCAAAAACCAATTTTCAATTGTCTTTATTTTTCAGAAAACAAGCCTGGGACTTTTGAGTACGTCATATGTCCTGTTTCCATGGACGAAGATTTGTTTTTTTTTCGTCTTAGGTGGTTTGTGGCGAAACCTATACAAGAGCGGCATGCTTTTCCACTATGACTGCAAGAGAGGGTTTGGCAGCAGGCGGAAGCTACCAACTTTCCGAAATGCTTCCTGCAGCAAAGTGTGTTAAATTCTTCACACATAGTTGAAGGCATGAGATTCGATTATAATTTAATGAATTTTTTTTTTGTTGCATATTCATAAAAATTCACTTTCAAACTCAACACAAAAAGATCCTTAAATTCTAAATTCGTAAAATCCGGAATACACTTAATAAAATATCAAAATTCCGACGTTTCATACATATTTAACTTTTTCATTTTCACTACACTTATCCAAAATTATTGGTTTTTTTTTTTAGCACGGAGCAAGGTTTACGGTTAGAATTCATCGCTGTGTTGCTAAATTTAATTTTGTATAATTCACGTCTAACAAAACAGTTCATTAAGGACAGCTAAAAAAAAAAAAATAAAATAAAAAAAAATAAAATAAACACACAAAAAAGCAAAAAACAA